TAGCCAAACGCTGCCCGTCATAGTTGCACTTTAGACACAGAAAAGTGTTTATTTATAGTTGCACTTTAGACACAGAAAAGTAGGTTATTTGTTTATTTTCCTATTTCCAGTGTGTGTGTGTGTGTGTGTGTGTGTCTATATATATATATATATAAGCCTTGCAAGTGGATCCGCTCGCCTCACGTCTCTGTCACCTCGTTACAATTATTATTAATAATAATAATTGTTATTATTATTATATAATTCCCATAACTTATTAAATAAATAATTCCTGATATAATAAAATAATTAATGTCTAATAAAATAATAAATGTCTTCAATGTATATATTTATCATTCTGGAGCATTATAATATAATATAATATGATATGATATGATATGATATGATATGATATGATATATAATATAATATAATATAATATAATATAATATAGGCTTTAATTTTTGCACATATACAATTATGTATTTAATACGTGAATGGGAATAATGATATATATTCCCAGTTGCATGTCTCTAATTGGTCCTTCTATAATCAAAGTTGACACCTCATGTTCTATTTTTACCAGATAACTCAGTGACCCACCGCCCTCTGGGTCACACTGTAATCTGTTTCTTACAACTACCTTAAACACCTTATGCAACCACAATCCTCCCTTTAACAAAACAACTGTAACCCTCTGAACTGGCTGAGGATAATTACTTCTGTACAATCCTGCTCCACACAACCACACAGCAGCCACTTCATCCCATTTGTCAATTCCAAAAATAAAATGAACTCTGGTGGCCCAAGGGCATGTGTTTAATTATGAAATGATAGAGGATGTCTGTAGACCAAAAGAGTATTGATCTAAAAGAAGTCTTTCCTGAAAAACTCTTTCCTGAAAAATTTATGAAGAAGTGATTAACTATGAAAAAGGCAACCCAGCTCTCTTGAGAAAAGGCAGATAGTGCAGGAACCAGAGGGAGAAATTGCAGCTACCAAAATAACTGTTTGTTAATTTGACTATTAAAGCAATAGGAATGAATCACATGTCCTATTGCTTTGCATAATTTGTGTTATCAGTTATCAGATAAATGTACAAGATGAAACCCAAAGCCTTCAAGTCAAAGGTGTTTAAACAAATTATTAGATTCACTGATTCTAATAGTAGTAAGTAAACGGTAGTAAATACTTTAAACTATCACTGGATTCTGATGTGATGCTCACAGTGACTTGATAGAATTAGAATACAGTGTCCTGACCTGAGATCCATTAATATAATTAGCATCATTTATTTGGAATACAGAAAGACATGAAAACTTTGTACATAATGAATATTAATTATAAAATGGAAATGTTTCTAGAGTTACACATTTGCCATTTGTCACTTTCCCTGGTTTGGAGACATTCTAGGCTGACCAAGTGCATCACAGACCCTTTCATATTCTGTGCCAATTACAGCTCTTATGTAAAGTATCACTTCTGCCTCATCTCACAAATAAGCCTTGAGATAGAAGTCATTTTTTAAATTGGCTGTGGAAATGGAAAATATAAATTTGTTTAATCCTCACAAATAGCTACAAAAGAGGCGAGACTTGCAAGATTAAGACTTCATGTTAAGAAACAGCATCTCAGTGGATGAATATTACTGCCATGTTAAATGATATGCTGCTTCTAAAAATAGTGCATGCAAATCCGACATTCACATCAGACTTTGACCGATAACATTTCCCGGAGCGACTTTCTCAGAACACAGATATTCTAGTGCTCCCCTTTATTTAATCATTTGCCTCAGTGCCAATTATTACCTGGACTTAGCAACAGCTTGACTTCCATGACGGCACAGCTGTCTACATTAACTGACTCCAGATTTTCTTGATTTCTATTTCAT